CCTCTATGTCACCATCACCCTCCCCGCCCGACCAAGTCCTCCCCATGCCCCGCCCCTTCCGCGACCCGGCATGGGAACAAGCCGAGCTCGCCTACCACACTCTCGCGGTGGCAAACCTCAACGCCCTGACGCGCTCGTACAACCTGATGGCGCCCAAGATCGCCCAGAAGCCGTACTACACGCTGGAGCGGGAGCTGCGGCGATGCTTCGCCGACGTGGCGCCGCAGCTGGCCGACGCGATCCGCGAGCGCAGCACGCGGCCCCCGACGAAAGTGACGCGCGTCGTCGCACGGACTAGAGGGACCACCACCGGCGGAGTGCTCGATCGGCTCGGCGCCGATGAGTGGACCGGCCATGAGGGCACGATCCGCGACGAGAGCGACGACAAGAGTTACGGCTTCAAGCAGTTCTGGCGCGACTTGTTTGGCGGTGCTGCTGGTGGCGAGCAGAAGACGGAGACTGCGTCGAGGCAGAGACGCAATGTCGCGTAGTCCCTGTGTGGTCCTCATGTCAGAGAAGACAGATACATGGATGGATAGATAGATGTACAAATATACAAATATACAAAAATACACACCTACTCACCTACTCACCTATCTACCTCTTCAAACCCCCCTCCCCATTCAAACGATGGGACATCACAAAGAGTTCCACAACCGACTCAATGGATATATACTACTCGGTACTCGGGCCTTGCTTTTATAGTTTGACTTCTGCCATCGTGGAGAGAAAAGTTGGTCATTCTTCTTCAAAGTGTTCAAAGAGTCGTGCTTTGTGTGACGACTCGAAATGCGTAGCGTACGACATGTACACGGTACATATGATATATCCATACCACCCTGGAGTCTCAGCTTCTGGGGCGATCCAAAGCGCCATGTTTTTCTTGTGACGTCCAACAGCCAGAGGCCGGAGCTTGTCACCTTCGTCCTCGTCCTCGTTGTCGTCGTAATGATGCCCCGTTCAGCTTTTTGCTCGCGTCTCTTAACAAAAGATACATGAGTACACTCCCCCGACCCAGGAGCCCAGCGAAGTCCGACGTGCAGTTACAAACAATAACCCAAATGGTCTATCTCGTCTGTGATATATACTCATTGTCAAATCGTAATCGTTGTTTCTTCTCATTCAAAACCTCCCTTTTGGAAAACCATGCAAGCACCTCACATGCGTCGATGCAGAAAGCAAATTCCGGCCGTGTACAAGTCGGGGTGGGAGAACATCCCCATCACAACCATGTCCAGCCACCCTTTCAAAACAGTGGGATATCGTCCATTTTCAAACCTCGCTTGCGGAGTCGAGCGCGAAGAACATCGTCGTCGGCATCCAGCCAATTCTCGCCCTCGAAATCGTCGCCAGCGTCCCGCTTGACTCGGGGCGGGCGTATAGGATAGGTTCGATCTTGTTTGATACGAGAGTTGTCATCATGCTCGATTGTAGGTAGGGCCACATCTGGATCGATGCGAGGGTGGAACTCGTGACGGTGAATTAGCTGCCTGGTTGTATACGAAGAAACAGTAGTCGTATCGGGGTAGGAGGACAACCCGTGGCTCGGTCGCTCGTGTCGATACTGTCCACTAACGTTCTAAGCAGTGGCGGCGACGTCGTTAAGCTGCTTGATCCACGAGTCCGGACTCTGCCCCACTCCATCAAGCTTCATCATCTCTTCTGTAGAAGTAGCCGGGCCTCCCTTTACTCCATCGGACGATTGCTGTTCCGTATTGCAGCTACCGCCCAAGTGGTTCTCCTTTTCTTCGCCTTCGGGTGAACGGCCAGAGCCCCAAATCCTCTCTTCTGCCCTCCCAGAGCCCTTTCCACCCTGGATTTGCGGCTCCTTTTTGCGACGACTCAGTTTTGCTAGTCTCTCTTTCTCCTTTGCCTGAGCTATCGCAATCTTTTCCTTCATAAGTTCGAATCCACGCTTGCGATCCGCCATCTCCTCCCGCAATCTCTTGCGTCTCTCCTCTCCTGTCCGCCCAAGGCGCCGGTTCATCACGCCATCATCAACAAATTGTGTCTTCAAAACCATAAAGCTCACACCATCATGCGGTGCTGGGTGGTCTGTAGATGTCTCTGCGCTCGGTTCAGGCCAACTGCGACTTTTGATACCAAAGCGGACACTGTCGGCATAACTTTCGAGTTGCGGCAGTACAACCAAAGTGATGTGCAGATCCTTACCCTCTGGTATGGTAGCTGGAGTATCTGGCGCCGATAGACCTTCGATTCGGGGATTTTGCTCGTCAATGAGCTTGTTCAAAAGGGGATCTTCAATGTGGGTAGACTGGATAAACCCTGAATGCATGGCAGCTGCCACAGGGTCTGAGTCGTCGGTGTAAATCCCTGATCCCCATAGGTATTGTTCACAGCCAATGAGGTTCCTTTCTTTCTGTTGAAGCCATAAACTCGACACCTTCACTGTGTAGGTGCAATTGATCTGATCTGGGTCCTTGAAGGATGGTAGGAGATTGGGCTGGATGGAAACGTCAAATTTCTGCGGCTGCGCTCGGTTGAAGTCGGGGACGCCGATGACAGGTTCATATTTGAAGAAGCCAAGGTGGCGTCGCGGGTTCAGTCGAGCTTGTGCGACAACCGAGGAGATTCTGATGACCTTCTTGGGTCTGAAAGTGGGCCGGACTGCTGGCGAAGATGACCGCGGAATTTGTGGGTTGTGAAGTTGTTGCGCAGCATTGGAAGTCGGGGTGCCTCCCCGTCGAACAGGATTTGATGTTGGGAAGCCCCCGTTCTTTCGCTGTCCCGCTGGAGTGTCCTCAAGGTCCAACTTGTAGGAATGCGAGTATTTGCTTCTCTTTCCCCGCCCTGGCCCCGGCTTCTTCACCTCGCCCACGTCACTTTCCGCTCTGACGTCCTCGTCCAAAACCTTTCGGTTGCGTTTGCTGATACCTGAGCTACTTCGGGACATCTTCATCAGGTTCTCTTCACTCAAGCGAGCACCCCCTTCGTCCCTCTTGAATGGACTTGCCGGCAAAGCCTGCGGTGTGGGAGTCGGGGCAGCGGAAGTCGAACCAAGACCGCTTCCAATACCAGCAAAGACTCGACCGTGTTCGTTCTTAATGCCAGCATCCGGTGTTGGAGTCTGAGCCTGGGCACCTTGCACCGCCTGAGGCACGGGTGAATATCGTCCACGTTTGGATTCGTTTGCAAGGCCGAGAATGGCTCTGTGTTGTGATAGTTCTTCACTGCCTTTACGGACTTGTTCATCCACAGGGCCCGAAGCAACCGACCCGGCAAAAGGAGAGTAGGCTCGGTTAGTTCGCAAGCGATCGCCAAGAACGGAACGATCGCTTAGCGACTGCACCGAGTCTTGTCGCATCATGTTTGGAGCACTGTATATTGGATCGCCTTGTTGATTGAGGATTCCGGCCAGTCTGCCCTCGCCACCATTTAACTGCGTGCGTCTCAGGTCGGGCGAGAGGGACTGAGCGGCAGGACGTTCATGGGGCACAGACACAGGCTGCAGCGGAGGTCCCGTTTGTGGAAGACGAGACAGAGTTGGCAGGCTAGGTGGACGAGTGTCATAGGGGCCGGTCAGCCCGTTTGAACGTGGAGGATCGTGGCCGTTCATTGGTTGACCCGGGCCCCGGTCGATGGGCGGAAGAGAGGGAGGTATACTCTCTGGTCGAGCCGGAGGATGAGACGTGGGCGGGAATGGTGGTGAGATGTTGATCGGTTGGGGCTGACTTTCCGGTCGCTGTAGAATACCACCGAGGCTTGTGCGACGGCTGCGGTCCTCGAATTCATCCTTGGGTATTACCGTTGGACCAAAGGGGGGGGTGTATCTTGGTTCGGGGTACGGGTTCATATTTGACTGACTCGGCCCTGACCGTGGAGGAGGTTCATAGAATGGCCCTGGTCGCTGGGTCATGGTTCCCGAACTAGATCGATGCGGTCTTGCCCCCAATGCTGGTCCAGCCATTCTGTCTGGAGTTTTTGATCTTGGCTTGTACGAGTATTCAGTCGGGCCCCCGCCCTGTTTCGTTGGATACTGGGGTGGTGACATGACTGCGCCCAGTGACATTGAGGGCCCGGGATGTGAGAGAGGCCCTGAATGTTGTCTGGATGGCTGGTTATGGTTGTGATACTGCTCATGGGCCGGCTTTTCTGGTTCCGTGCCCAGCATCGACGAGATCGACATGCTACTCCCCGGCCTCTTATGGGGAGGCGGTGCGCCGTTGTTGACGGCAATGGCAGCAGAGTTCGCTGGTAACGGCGGCTGAGAAAATCGTGGAGGAGGGTAATGCTGTGGCGACGGCGGTAGCATGGTGCGAGGATGGCCGTACATTGCTGGAGGCTGCTGAGGTTCGGAGTAGCCTAGACAGAGAGGTTAGAAAAGGCAGCAATATAAAAGCCATGGTGCGAGGAGGAAATGTAAGTGTGGGAGAGTCAAAACATGGCAGTATGAGTCGTCGCATGATCCCCCGTGACACTGCGCACCCTGATTATGGTAGGCAAAGTGATCCGGGAGCAGTGAATGCATACCAGAGAATGAACGAGAAGGACTCGAGGGCCCGTTGAAGGCGGGTGAATGGCCTGGCATCGCCATTGTGGCCGGATTGTGAAATTGAGAGCGATCCGGTAAAGGTGAAGGAAGGTGGAATACTAGATGGTGATCACCAGGGAGGAGACGCTGGTGTAGCAAATCGTGATGCGGAGGCTGCGCAGAATGCGATGTGGATACTGCCGCGACTGGAGCCGGAAAAAAAGGAACAAGACGTTAGCGATGCATAAGAGTGCTGCGTATGGCGGTAGTGGCAAAAATGGCAACAATAATGAGTTCTGTTAATGTGTGTGCGCGAAAGAGAGACGGGATGGAGGGTAATGCATGTTGCGTTGCAAGGGGTGTCAGGGTTGGAAGATGAGAATTGAAGGGTAAGAGTGAAGATGAGGATGAGGATGAGGATGGAAAGAATCATGCGCAGATGGGATGGTGTGGATGCCGTAGTCGCCAGCGAGTCGGGGGTGGATCTGGGTGCAAAGGTGGAACGCCGAGCGATCAGTGGTGATGGTAATAAAGGCAGAAAGCTCTCTGGGGCAAGCAACCAAGGCAAGAGATACAAGCAAGCAAGCAAGGAACCAGCAGACCCTTGAGCGAGCTAGCTTAGCACCTCAGGTATCCCCATTAAGGGGGGTGGGTGGTCCCTCCATGCTCATACCCAGACCCATGCATCCCGCCCTTTCCTCCCCCAAAAAAACAAAGGACTGGTCCTGATGGACGGATTCTAGGGCAAGGTACAAGAGCTCGGTAGGTCAAGTAGGTACCCAGCTCGTCAGTAAGTGGGTGGAGCCAGGCGACAACTGACGGGGGTGTCGATGGGTGTCATCCAAACAAACCAAGTCCTCCACCCAAAACAGGGATACCGTGTGCCTGATCAGAAGAAGCTCCAGCGGCGGCCTGCAGGGCTTGCAGGTGGCATGCCCACGCCTGACCTTGAAGAGGCGTGTTCGTTTGGCGTCTCCCGAGGCCCAAGGGGCGTGCCGG